TGTCCCGTAGGGGGCTCCACCGACGGTCCCAGTGCCACCGCCCGCATGCGTCAGCCACCACCCAACACAGCGGTTCGTGGCCCCATAGGGTACTCCACCGCAAGCACCAGTGGCACCGCCCGCATGCGCCAGCCACCACCCAGCACAGCGTTTCGTGGCCCCTTACGGAGCTCAACCGACGGCCCCAGTGGCACCGCCCGCATGCGTCAGCCACCACCCAGTACAGCGCTTCGTGGCCCCGTAGGGGGTTCCACCGAAGGTCCCAGTGACACCGCCCGCATGCGTCACACACCACCCAGTACAGCGTTTCGTGGGCCTATACGGAGCTCCACCGACGGCCCCAGTGGCACCGCCCGCAGGCGTCAGCCACCACCCAATACAGCGTTTCGTGGCCCCGTAGGGAACTCTTCAGAAAAACCCAATGGCACCGCCCGCATGCGTCAGCCCCAGCCCAGTATTGCATTTCGTGGCCTCATTGTTTGGGAGCTCCACCAAGCCCCAGTGGCACCGCCCGCATGCGCCCACCCCACCGGGTACAGCGTCTCGTGGTCCCATAGGGAGTTCCACCGAAGGTCCCAGTGGCACCGCCCGCATACGTCAGCCACCACCCAGTACAGAGCTTCGTGGGCCCATACGGAGCGCCACCGACGGCCCCAGTGGCACCGCCCGCATTCGTTCGTCAGCCACCACCCAATACATCGTTTCGTGGTCCGTAGGGAGCCCCACCGAAGGTCCCAGTGGCACCGCCCGCATGCGTCAGCCCCCACATGGTACAGCGCTTCGTGGCCCCGTAGGGAGCTCCAGTAACCCGCCCGCATGCGTCAGCCACACCCAGTACATCGCTTCGTGGGCCCATAGGGAACCCCACCGAAGGTCCCAGTGGCACCGCCCGCCCTCCCGTGGCCCTACAGGGAGCTCCACCGAAGGGCCCCGCTGGCACCGCCCGCATGCGCCCCCCCCCCGGTACAGCGTTTCGTGGCCCCGTAGGGGGCTCCATAGAAAAGACCCCAGCGGCACCGCCCGCATGCGTTTCCCCCGACCAGTACAGCGTTTCGTGGTTTCATCGGGAGCTCCAGCGAGGGGCACCGCCCGCATGCGTCAGCCACACCAAGTACAGCGTTTCGTGGCCCATGGGGGGCCCCACCGAAGGCACCAGTGGTACCGCCCGCATGCGTCTCCCCTACCAATTTCGGCACGTCCCTCACCCGTTTCGCGGCTCCATCGGGAATTCCACCGAAAGCATCACCCACAACGCGTTATTCACAACCGCATATGGTTGGGTCCTTCGCCCGAATAATTTCAATGATTTTGGGGCTATTGTTTCCGATTGTTCCTTCCCCTCTCCCTCCTCTTCTTCTCTTTTCCCTCGTCCCCCTCGTGGTTTAGTGCACCTGGGAGGTTCACACAAGCATGGCAGTGAAACGACACAGCAAGCACGCAACGACAACCATCAGACAAACAGCAACACAGCAAACAAGCAACGCCGCAAGGAAACCCCGGCAACGCAACAACCCAGTCGACCAAACAACTCACCATTTATAACAATTATTACTGGCATTCTTTTTTACCACTACTACTACTACTACTACTACTACTACTACTGCTACTACTACTACTACTACTACTACTACTACTACTACTACTACTACTACTACTACTATTACTTGCTACTACTACTACTACTACTACTACTACTACTACTACACTACTACTACTACTACTACTACTACTACTACTACTACTACTACTACTACTACTACTACTACCGCTATTGCCCACTAGCCACCACAACGACTACGACGACTACGGCTACTTTTCCGACTATAACTGTACATGTCCCCATGTTCGTATCCATGTATTCGGAAGGCCATCTTTTGGTACACTCAGCTACTCGTACACATGCATACTCATATCGATGTGTACATATGGATGTGTATAGTTTATCTATTCATCCAGGCGTGCGCGGAGCGTTTCAAATGCAGTACCGGATGGGGGAGGGTGGTTACAGGAATGCGTGCCCTACTACCGAGCCGTTTGCACGGTCAGCGGGCTTGCCAGCCAGGAGATGAGAGTGGGGTTGCAGTTCGATGCTGCTCCTTGTCAGCCTTGTCTACTGCCTCCACCTCTCCTGCAGGGGGGGGGAGGACACATAGCTGGATTGAGGCGAGTACGGTACGAACATTGCGTGCGCCGAAAATCGCATAGGTGGCTGAGCAGGCGCAGCCTGATTCCAAAGCGAGTGCCGCACGCTGCGCGTGGCATCCGCAGGGGCGAAACAGCGATGTAAGCACCGCGCTCCGTGCTTAATGCGCAAGTGCAGATCCCTAGCGCATGCAGATGAAACGCTAACCTCGCAACGAGGGCCCTCCCCAGCCGAGTGGTCGCCTCCAGTCACGCTGGGGACAGAGACGTCGCAGCCCGAATCTACGAAATAGAGAATGCTGACAGCAGAGCAGCGAAGGCGCGCCACTCAATCGATGTCGCCGCCGGGTCGCCCAGGGGGTTGCGCAAAACGACCAGTTCCCTGAGCTCGTGCAGGTCGCCGAGCAGCAGAGCGACCCACGGAAGCGAACCACCTTTGTGGCGAGCAGCCAGTGAGGTGGTCAAAGCGGCGGGGGCCGAGCGCACCACTCTGCCGAAATAGCGCATGCGGCCGCGCATCACGAAGGAATCGATGCTGGGATGCTCGAGACGTACCCAGACTGTCTGGTCTGGGTCTCTTGGCCGATGCAGCGGCGAGCCATCCATTTCTTGCGCACATATGTATATGTGTATGAGTTTGTGCATTTATGAAAGAGCGCTGTCTGTGGACGCTGGGAAGGGGGGGTGGTCGAACTGGGTCGACCCCCTCCCCTTCCAGTTCGACCCCCCCAACGGGTTTTCCAGGGGCGTCAATGTTTTGCCGCCGCCCCCTCCTCAGTTAAGTGTTTTTTCCGTATATATGTATGCACGTCTGTGTATGTATGCATGTATGTATGTGTGTATGTATGCATGCATTTGTGCATCAACGTATGTATATTCACCTGTAGGTCTGTATGTATTTGTATACGTATGTACGTACGCCTACCTATAAACATGTATGTAGACATGTGTATGTTTGTAGTTACGCATATATCAACGTATGTATGTAGGTGTGTAATATGTATGTATGTATGTATGCATGTATGTATGTATGTATGTATGTATGCATGCATGCATGCATGCATGCATGCATGCATGTATGTATGTATGTATGTATGTATGTATGTATGTATGTATGTACGTATGTGTGCATTTATGTTTTCGTATACATGTATATATATACATACCAGTCGACTCGTTTACCAGCCTTACGCATGCATGTATGTACGTACGTATGTGTGCATGTATGTATGCATACACGCATGCACGTACGCATTCATGTTTGCGTGTATGTATCTATGGATGTATGCGTGCGTGCGTGCGTGCATGCATGCATGTATGTGTGTATGTATGTAAGTTTGTACGTATGTATGTGTGTGTATGTCAGTATGTATGCATACATGCATCCAGGTATGTATGTATGTATGCATGCAGGTATGTATGTATGCATGGCTGCATGTATGCACGTCTGCATGTACATGCACGTATGCATGTTTCCCAATCAGAGCTTGCCTCTGTAGGGGTCCTAGCGGATTCATATGGTTAGGTTAGTGTCGAGGTTGATTTCGGTGGCCGGGCCGGGTGCCCGGGTGCCTGGGTGCCCGGGTGTGCCCGGGTGCCCGGGTGCCCGGGTGCCTGGGGATGCCCGGAGGTTCCCAGGGGTGCCCGGGTGCCCGGGTGCCCGGTAGTCCTATAGCCCTATATAGCCATATAGCCTCATAGACTTATAGCCCTATAGCCCTATTGCCCTATAGTCCTGTAGCCCTATAGCCCTACAGCCATAATAGCCCTATAGCCATATAGCTCTATAGCCCTATAGCCCTACAGCCCTGTGGCCCTATAGCCTGATAGCCTTATAGCCTTATAGCCCTATAGCCCTATAGCCCTAAAGCCCCAGAGCCTTCTAGCCCCATAACACTACAGTCCTATAGCCCTGTAGCCCCATAGCCGTATATCCCTAAAAAGATTATGTTTGGGGCTTTCTCTGGTATCATATGTATGGATGCGTATGTATGCATGCATGCATGTATGTCTGCATGCATGTATGCATGTATGCATGTATATATGTATATATGTATGCATGCATGTATGTATGTATGTATGTATGTATGCATGTATGCATGCATGCATGTATGTATCTACGTATGTCTATACATATGTATACATGTACGTATATATACACATTCCATTCGATTTGTTTTTTACCAGCCCTTTCATGGTTGCGGTTTGGCCCATCTTGGGAGTCTCTTCGCGCTTTGAAGCCTTCGTGTTGTGGGCATGCTCGGCCGCCTTGGGATCCTCTAGGGCCTCTCTGGGCCGCATTGGGGGTTAGTTGGGGCTGTTGTGGGGCGGTCTGGGGGCCCTGTTGGGCTGTCTTGGGGCCTTCTTGGGTTCTGTGGAGACTCTTTGGGGTCCCTCGTGGGGCGTCTTGGTGCCCTCTTGGGCTGTCTGGGGCACCTCTTGGCGCCCTCGTGGGTGCATTTTGTTGGGAAGCCGAGTTTAGACGGATAGGGGGATCGTTTTCAGTGTGTAGTTGAACCGACCGTTTCAGTACATCAATGTATACGTGTGTGCAGGCATATCTTTGTCATAGTCGCTCATGCATGGTCTTCTCTCCTCTCTCTTCTCTCCTCTCTTCTCCTCACAGCATCCTTTCCTCTCCTCTCCTACTTCCCTGCTTTCCTCGCCTCTCCTCTCCTCGCCCCCCCTCCCCTCCCCTCTCCTTTCCTCGCCTCTGCCTGAGCGAGACGACGGAGGGGGGTCGGACAAGGGACCAGGTAACGTCGGCGTTCTCTCTCCTACCGCTGCTCCCTTCGTGTTACTCGTCGTTGGAAGAGGAGCCGGAGAGATGGTGCAGGCAGAGTTCTCTGCCCTAGCAGGCGCTTGACGACTTCGTCTACTTCTGGAGGTGTGTCGGCTACCAGCTGGGCATGGCTGACGAGTTCAACCCTTGCTCGCTTGGCTACTCCTTTGTCCTTCCCCTCCGTCCTCCCCCTCTTCCTCCGCCTCCTCCTCCTCCTCGTCCCTCCTCTGGAGCTTGGAGGCAAAACTTGATTCGCCTTTTCTGAGCCTCAGCTGAATTCGGTTTCGTCGGAGCCGCTTCGGGGTGCGCGTCATCATAATCATAGTATATTCATCTCCATTGCCATCACCATCACCATCACCATCACCATCACCATCACCATCACCATCACCATCACCATCACCATCACCATCACCATCATCATCATCATCATCATCATCATTATCATCATCCTCCTCCTCATCATAATTATCATCATCATCACGATCAGCAGCAGCATCCACATCCTCATACTCATCCTCAACCTCATCCTCATCACAATCACCATCACCACCACCACCATCACCATCATTATCATCACCATCACCGTCACCATCGCCATCACCATCGCCATCACCGTCACCGTCAAATTTTCACCGTCACCGTCATCGTCACCACCACCATCACCACCACCATCCTCCTCCCTCCTCCCTCCTCCTCGCTCTTCCCTTTCTTTCGCACTCGTCCCTCCTCCCTTGTCCCTCCTCACTGGTCCCACGTCCTCAGTCCCTCGTCCCTCCTTCCTCCTTCTCCCTCGTAGTCCTCTAAGTCGGCGTCGTCGTCGTCGTGGTCCCTCTTCCTCCTCGCTCGGCAACTCTACAGCCCAGAAGATCGCTCAGGAGCTGATCGATCAAGTCCTCCTGCCAGACGTCGCCGATCCCAGGGAAGCCGGAAAGGGTACCTGCCACACCCTTCTGAGGCGAGATCATGGGGGGCGGGGCAGGAGCTGTTTCTCCCTCCTCTCTCCTCCCTCTTCCCTGCCCTCTCCTCTGTCATCCCTCTCCATTCCTCCCTCCTCTTCTTTCCTCCCTCCTCTTCCTTGTCCCTCGTCCCTGTCCCTCTATCATCCTTCCTTGTCCTTGTCCTCGTCCTCGTCCTCGTCCTCGTCCTCGTCCTCGTGCTCGTGCTCCTCTTCTACTCCTTCTTCCACCCTTCCTGCTTCCTTCCCCCTGGTCCCTCATCTCTCTTCTCTCTCGATATCTTCACCCGCAACCCTTCTCCCTCCTCGCTCTCCTCCTCCCCTTTCTCCCTTCCCCCCAATTCCCTTTGAGGGGACGGGGTGGGATGGTTCGAGTCATGGTCCACAGGACGGGAGGGTCGGGTAGATTTCCATTTCGACTTCCCTGATCCACCTGCCGATTATTCTCGCATCGCGACCGCCTATATCGATGGCATGAACATGCTATTCTTGGGCATCCCCGTTTTGAGCGTCGGCTCGACTCTGGCCTTCACCTACTGGGGGGTCGGCCGCAGTGTGCCCAGACTGACTTTGGCGGACAGGTGCAGGTACCTGCTCTTGCGACTGGTGGCGTTGATGATGGTACTGCTGCCGCCGTACAGGCGCGCGCTGGGCCTGGCCCTCCGCACGACCCTGCAGTCTTGTGAGACGTGCGCCGAGCGAGAGGCAACTGCGACATGCAGCCCGCTGGCCGTCTCCGTGTTTGCACCGCTCTTTCTCCTGCTCGTCGCCGTGCTGGCCTCTGCGTTGATCCTCGCGGGTGCGGTCGGTTTGCTGCTGCTGGCGCCGCACAGTCATCACTGGCCTATCTTGGCGGCGCCCACGAGGGGGGTGGCTGCGCGAGGGGTGTCGGCTTCTAAGAAGGCAGCGGGGTTTCTAAGGATGCAGGGGGGTTTCAAAGAAGCTCACCAGGCTTTGATGAGGCTCTCCCAGAAACCCCCAGGGCCTTCTAAGAAGGCTCCTGTCTTCTAGGAGGCCCCTCCGCCTCCTTAAAAGGCCACCGCCCTCGCGCCACCCCCTTGTGGACGCCGCCAACTATCTGGAGGGAGCACTTCGCCCACCAGTCTCTGTCGAGCAGCAACGCTATCTTCGCTCAGGTCGCGGCCTGAGGACATGCCGTTTGGTGTGCCAGAATGTTGCTCTCGTCGGGCACTTCCGCCTCCCTGCGCTCACAAGTTCCATCGATTGCTGCACGTCAGCGTCTCCACTAATTGTTTCAATGTGGTGCAGTTCACGGCTGTCTACGCGGTTCCATGGATGCCAGTATCTCTACCAATTGTTTGAATGTGGGGCAGTGCACGGCTGTGTGCGCGGGAAGTCAGAGTCACCGGCATGATTTTCGCACCACCTTGCGAGTCGGGGCGACTTGCGGTGTTCATACGTAGGCGTGAGCACATCCAGGCCTCGGAACAAATTAGCGAACACTCATGCCAAATTCATCTGTCAACGCCTCCCCTCTCCCCCCAATGTTCAAAGTTGGCGGTGGGTCTGATGAGATGCACTTCGACCGCAGTGTTTTCCGCGCGTGCCAACATTGAGTTGGGGGGAGGGGGAGTGTTCAGTAATAGTTTCCCTCTACCGTCTCATGTTTTAGTTTACCCCGTCAAATGCGAGTTGGCCGAGCGCTTCTGCGGGTAAGGACTTCTGCCAGACCATTATGATGTATACATATATTTATATGTGTAGTTATGTGTACACATGCATGTATATATCCTCATTTTTAGTGTTTTGGCGTCCGGGTCGTCCCGTGCCTCATTCGTCATGTATTACTCGTATCGCTCGTCCCATCACTCCTTATTTTTCACATATTTCTCGTAGAAAGACAATAAGATTCTTGGGTTTTTTCTTTTTCTTACGAGCGATACGAGTGATATGTAAAAATAGGGAGTGCTGGGACGAGTGATACGAGTAATACGTGAAACATAGGGTGGGATGCGCGAAGCGCCTCCGGGGGCCCCCGGGGCCGTTGGGTAGGCGCTAGACATGACAACATGCAGCCGCTTGGGCCGTTTCTTGCTTGTTGCCCAGACGTCGTCGTTGTCAGTCGGTCGCCGCCGTGGTTCGTCGTAAAAGTCGAAAAGCAAAGTATCAAGTTCGACTTGCCCCTCTCTGACTCAGTCCGGGGTAAGTCCACGGTTGACGGTGTGAGTTTCGCAGTGATTGAGACGACTCCTCCCCAGTCCACCCCTCGAACATTTTCCCGTGTACCGCTCTCTGTATTTCTGCACTCCAATCAGTTCGAGCGTAGCCACGTGCCGGGCAACATACCCACATTCCTCGGAACAAATTAGCGAACACTCATGCCAAATTCATCTGTCAACGCCTCCCCTCCCCCCCCAATGTTCAAAGTTGGCGGTGGGTCTGATGAGATGCACTTCGACCGCAGTGTTTTCCGCGCGTGCCAACATTGAGTTGGGGGGAGGGGGAGTGTTCAGTAATTGTTTCCCTCTACCGTCAGACTGCTCCCGCAGACATGATATTCTTAGTTGCGCTGTCGTGCATGCCCTCCACCGCGCATGGGAGAGTCGCGGAAAAGTGGCCTTGGTGCACGAGTGCGTGTCTTTGCATGCGCATAGCTGGTTTCTTGGGGGCATCTTGCGATCATCTTCAGCGCACGGCAGAATGAGGCGTCCCGGACCGTGGTAGCCTCTTGGCAGCGTGGTCGGATGCTCGTTGGGGATTCTTGAGGTCCTTGTGGGAGTCCTGGAGCTAGCGAGGGGATCGCTGGGTCACCTGGCGGGGTCTTGAAGGCGTCTGAAGGAGTTGGGGGACCGTGGTGGGGCGCTCTTGTGCCGTACAGTGGAGACCCATGCCAAGAAATACCCTGCTTGCCTCCAGGGTGCCCTGGGCTTCTTGGGTTTCCGATGGTTTTGAGATGTAGAGCGCGACGCTCCCGCGCAAAAAAACAAGGGCGTCCTGGGGTCTCAGGGCTGGGTCTCTTGTGGAAGGTTTCTTGTAGATTGGTCTCCGCTGCACAGCGGGTGCATCAAATAAGACTGCCAGCAGGTTCTATCCCCCGATGGCCCCGGGGGGCCCGCAGAAGCCTGGGGGCCCTCTGAAGCCCAGGGGCACCCAAGGAAGCTCAGAGAGCGTCGACAAGCAAACCCCTAGATTTAGGTCGGTCATGTCCCTCTACAGGGGGGAAAATTCACAAATAGTCAACCATAATCAAAAATAATCAGGGGATGATTTTTCCGATCATGTTCCGACTATTTTAAGATCTTGTTTGCCAATGTTTCGTTTTTCTTCCAAATCCGCCTGTAGGAGGACCTGCCCGACCTAACCCTAGATTTCTTGCAGAGGAAGTTGTTGTCGTACGCATATATATATATATATAGTATTTCGACTATCTGGGAAAGGTCTTGGGCTGTGCTAGCATCGTCCCGTGGCTCTCCAGGACTCTTTCTTGGGACCGCTGGGGCGCCGCCTGTGACGGCACGCGGGCCGCCCGAGAGCTTCCTGGACGTCCCCATTCAGGACCTCCGCGGCGGCACGGCGACTCTCTCCACTCTGAGCCTGCCTAAAAAGGGTTTCCCATTGCTTTCAGACAGATTGGCCGACTTCGCACGAAGTCGTGCGTGCGAAGTCGGCCAATCTGTCGGCCGCGCTGTCGGCGACGAAGCCGGTCGTGCGTGCGAAGTCGTGCGTGCGAAGTCGGTCAATCTGTTTGCGAAGTGCCCCCGGGGCGCTTCACCGGCGTGAGTGAACGACTGCACGCTCGCCTCACCTGCCCCGTCCCCTCTCCGCGGTCGCCCTCGCCCTCTTCCCGCCACCGCGGTGTCCGCTTGCCATTTCGCACCCCGACCTCGGCTCTTCCGAGCTGCGCGACTGTCGGCGCCGCGACAAGTCACGACAAAGTGCTGAGAGGCCGATGGCAGCGGTCTCGTAAGGCAGGCCCCCTGACGACCCCCCCAGTTCCTCGAGGAACTCTGCGCAGTCCCTCGAGGCTTCTCCATCCGTGAATGGTTGCCAGCGCGGTCCCCTTGACAGTGCGTTATTGCATTCGGGTGTATGATGATGATGAAGAAGATGTTGATGATGATGATGATGATGATGATGATGATGATGATGATGATGATGATGATGGTGATGATGATGATTTTGATGATGATGATGATGATGATGAGGATGATGATGACGATGATGATGATGCTGATGATGATGATGATGATGATGATGATGATGATGATGATGATGTCCACGCGTCGCTGATGAAGCGGCGGCGCTGGCGGCGATTGACGGCGACGACAATGGCAGTGGTGCTATGGAGCTGATGAGGGTGATGAGAGAGCGCGCGCGCAGGAAATCGATAATGCCGCGTACTTTTTGTTGATTTGCAATTGGATGTTCATATGCCTTGGAGATCTCTGTCTCAAAATGTTTGGGGTACCAATTGTTTTGGACTGATTTTGACGCACGAGCGTGGCGGCGCGCGCATGTGGCCCGCATGGCGTTATTTGATACGGATGCGTGCATCGGGCGCATTCTGGATCAACGCGAATGCACCGCGTGTTGAGATGAGAATGCAGGGTTTGGGCGACGTTGCTAACCTCATCTGGTTTCTGCATGGTTTCAGTAAGTGCGCGCGGGAAGGCAATGTGTATGATTGTTGGTGGCCATCTTTTTTGAACTCCTCGCAGAACTAGAACGTGGGTGGTATGAGTTTGACATATGCGTGCGTGTGTGGCCCTTGTTTTTTGTTTGTTCTTGTTACACAGGGTTATTGTGGAAGAGTGTGCGCATGGTATTATCTGACGCCCATACCAGTGTGGCAGGGTTTGCCGCAGTTAACATGCATATGAACGAACGATGAGGCAGAACCACATGCACACTGCAACGCAAGTAGGTGAGCAGCTAATCCTGGGCGTGGGATTGTGGTGTAGTCTGTGCCCCTTTCTGCAGGAAGAGTAGATGGTGCAAGCGCCACGTGGTGTCAGCTGAGCATGTCGTGCGCTGCACGGCGTGCGCCCCCATGGGACGTAACCCATGCAATGCAGACGTGTCGTGCAAGCTATGCGCTGGAAGTGGCGTGACGCATCGTGTGTGTGTGTGTGTGTGTGCGTGTGTGTGTGCGTGCGTGCGTGTGTGTGTGTGGGTGTGTGTGTGTGTGTGTGTGTGTATGGTGCAAGCTACAGCGGGCGCGCGGGTCAAGAAACTGACTGCTTTTCGTCAGGGTGCCCTGGGTTTCCTCGCCCCGCGCGCTGCGCGGTGGCTTCCCGTGGCCGTTGAAGGAGCTGCTGCGTTTAGGGTGCTCGGGTCTTCCCCCACCTGACTCTTGCGCCTGCGGATTTCAGGGCTGGGTTTCTTGTGTGTGTGTGTGGTGCAAGGTACAGTCGGCACTGATGAGTAGGTCGATCTTGCCAAATCAAGGGCACCCTTATGTCCTGTGTCTCGCGACCCATGCCTCCTGCATTCTTATCGCAATGCGGCGCTCGGAGGGGTCTTGTGTCCTCTCGCGCGTCCTGTCCAATCAAGTCCGACTGTATGTGGTGCAAACTGCTTGATGCAAGCTATGTGTTGCAAGTCATGTGATGTAACCTATTCGATGGGGCGCCCACGGGCGGTTGCCACTCGGGCACCAGGCGAAACCTCGGCATGCCCATCCTCCTAACTCAAGCAGTCGGCCATTGCACCTTCGATCTGCAATCTTTGTGCTGCCACCTTCGATCTGCAATGGTTGTGCTGCAAACTGTGCGATGCGCTCTGTGTGTGGTACCGCATCTGTGTTACTACCTGTGCGTGTGGGCGCCACGTAGTGCG